TCCATCCATCCATCCATCCATCATCCATCCATCCATCCATCCATCATCCGTCCATCCAATCATCCATCATCCATCCATCCATCCATCCATCTATCTATCCATCCATCCATCCATCCATCATCCATCCATCCATCCATCATCCATCCATCCATCCATCCATCTATCCATCCATCCTCCATCATCCATCATCCATCCATCCATCCATCCATCTATCCATCCATCCATCATCCATCCATCCATCCATCATCCATCCATCCATCCATCCATCCATCCTCCATCATCCATCTATCCATCCATCCTCCATCCTCCATCATCCATCCATCCATCCATCTACCTGTCTGAGCGTCTTCAGCATCTCTGTGGCTTCGTCCTGCTTCCCCTGCTTGGCCATCATCATCATCTCCTGGATCATCCCGATGCGGCGCTGGTACGGAGGAGGTGGCGTCCTGCCGCGGTTCAGCCGGTCTCCAGACTTTAGCATCAGGGAGGCCAAGATGTCCCCCCCCCTCTCCTTGGTGGGTGTCCGTTTCCAGCTGTGTTGGGGACTGGCCCCCGCGGGCTCCTGGCCTTTGGTCTGCTTGGCCCCCATGATGCCGCCTTAGAGGGGAGCACTGCTCCCTGCACAGGCAGCTTTGGTTAAAGTCTGAGAAGATCTGCTCATGAAGGAGACCCCATGGTCTGATGGAGAACCTGATGGAGGATCTGGTGGAGGACCTGTAGGAGGATCTGGTGGAGGACCTGATGGGGGACCAGGTGGAGGATCTGGTGGAGAACCTGATGGAGGATCTGGTGGAGGACCTGTAGGAGGATCTGGTGGAGGACCTGTAGGAGGATCTGGTGGAGGACCTGATGGGGGACCAGGTGGAGGATCTGGTGGAGAACCTAATGGAGGATCTGGTGGAGGACCTGGTGGAGGATCTGATGGAGGATCTGGTGGAGGACCTGTAGGAGGATCTGGTGGAGGACCTGTAGGAGGATCTGGTGGGGGACCTGATGGGGGACCAGGTGGAGGATCTGGTGGAGAACCTAATGGAGGATCTGGTGGAGGACCTGGTGGAGGATCTGATGGAGGATCTTCAGCAGAGCAGCAACCAGCAGTAGAAGTTGATGCAGTTTCTGTTTCAGACAGAAAGACCTCAGGAAGCGGATCACCGCAGCATGGCCGCCCGGCAGCAGCTCCACTCTGTCCGGCTGTCTGAACACCTTAGTGCGCTGCAGGTCCCGGAACCAGCCGAGCCCCCCTCCCCCCTAAACCAGCAGCTGTCCCGGGCTGGCGGAGCTGCAGGGCATGGCGGTGTTTACACCGAGCATCCGCCTCCTTCTTCCTCCTTCATCATTCCTCCTCTTCCTCCATCCGAACCGACTGCAGGGCGAGGCTGAGGAGCAGCGGGCAGGGAGCTGAGAGGAGGCGGCCAGAGACGGTGCAGAACCGAACTCCTTCAGACGGAGGAGGGGGGGCTGTTATGGTGCGTTCACTGACAGGATGAGTCACAGTTTAAATCATTTCCGCTTCATCTCCTCCATCAATCTTCCTTTATCCTCACTTAGGAAAAAATTCACCGCATTTAAACAGGAAAATTTTACTTTTTTAAGCTTTTAACGACGTTAGGATTCATTTATCATTTTAGTTGCTGTAGTTTAGGTTTTTAAAAAGCTTTAAACCCAGAAAGCATTAAAGACGAGAGCAGGGGCGGCGCTAAAGGGGGCTGAGTGGTGAACAGAGGGGCTGTTTAATTTAATGTAATGAACACAAATCAAAGCAGAGAAGATCTAACTGCTCTAAAATCTGCAAAACACAGCAGCAACGTGGAGAGGGAATATTTGGTTTTCTGTTATTAAATTAAAACACATAAAACATGATGATATAAACTGTTAGAATCAATTCATTTATTACTGTTTCCACAGATATAAGAAAACAAAATAAGCTAAATTTATTGTTAATTAACCAGCAACATCTGCAGAAGTAGACTTAAAGGTATAGTGGAGGATTTTCAGGAATTTCTGTAAAGACCCACCCGAGAGGAAACGGCGACTAAAGGCGAAGGAAATACAGGCATCTAGCGCAAACAGGAAAAACTTACAAATTAAAGGTACAGGGGAGGATTTTCACGAATTTCCCCTAACCTTGCGCTGCAGCCTGTCACAACAATATATTATGTCCGTCTCGTAACAACCCAGCGGGTCGGACCAATGACATGCCAGCAGTGTTTTTAGGGGGCGGGGCATGTAGGAATGACGACAGTCAGGCGTTGCTAGGGCATAACAAACTTATCGACCGCGCAACTGATACGGTTTTAGCTAAAATAGCGACAATTTCCCGTTTAAAAAAGAAGAAAAGAAGCGTTTTTTGCATTCGTTGATGGAAAAGATGTCTGTGCTTTTCTTCTGGCAGGATTCGGAAAAATTTTTGATTTATCAGAGTACGAAACGCCCTGATTCGCTGCTACGATTGGCTGAAAGCGCATTTTGGAAGGCGGGTACTAGCTGGCACGTCACAATATCGGCTCAAAGTATCGTACTAAACGTCCCTCCTTTTCAAAGACAGACTGAACGGCAGCCATCCCAGATTAATCACTTAGAACTCAGCTCAGGTCTACACACATCAGTCTATCTACTGCCAGGTTAGGGCCAAGTTATACTTCTGACGCTTAGCCTCTGCAACCGTCAAATCTGTCTTTGTGTGCGACCACGCCCCCCACCAGAGGTTCTGCAACCGTCGTCACGCACCTAAAAAAAAATCCTGTCTACGCGTCGGACGGTTGCAAACTAGCACAGACCTCGAGCGGACGTGCGCAGACAAAAAGCAGCTGTGATTGGTCCTTGGTGCCTTTCCGGCTGTCTGTGTGGTCGTCCTTCTCGATTCAGTCCCGGGGCGCGCCATTTTTAAAAACCGAGGAACAACTACAATGGACAACGAAAGGATAATCAGTCTTTTAGCTAACTTCATTAACAGAACCTGCTTCTCTTCGGTGTCTAGCATCTCTAGATCTATCTCCATGACCATGATATCTTGCAGACGCGCCATTGTTGTCTTGGAAGATAAACACTCCCACCAGCGCCGCCGCCAAAGTTCTTGTGACCATCCACTGAAGTTCTCATGAGTTCTCGTACAGCCTCCTCCTTGCGCTTCGGCGGGAAACTGCTGTGCATCCCTAGAAATTCCAGACCGATGGTGGGGAAGCATACCAGCTAAACTGGTTCACAGCCAGACCCAAGCAACATTTGATGTGTGCGGTTGAAGAAATCACATCTGCCCTTCAGAAAAGATCCGCCCTCTCCACCTTTAAAAAAAAAAAATGCACATGCAAAACCGTGTATTCGCTACCGAGAGGGGATGGCTATTAAACGCATTTCTCCTGGTGCACGCTCTGTTTAATAGTTGCTCTTTGCACCACTCATACAGGCTTACTTTCCAAAAGATTTGTAATTTTTTCCACTACGTCAGACTCACCACCGCTAAGAGAAAAGGCAGACGAGCAGTAGGACGGCCTAACACATCACCAGAATGATTGACAGTTAGGAGGACCACTTATTTAGATGATCCACCTGAAAAAGAACATCCTCCTCTATAACTTTAGGTTTAATATTAAGTAAATAAATGATAAAAGTAAAATGACATATAATGAATCAATAAAATTACATGCTGAATCATTTTACATTTTTTACTGAATTGTGTAGAAATTCAGTGAAAACAAATTAGTAAGAAAACCCCAAATAGGGATAAAATCAATAAATTACATCAGTTAAAGCAAAAATATCACCAATTTGGGTCCAATTTTTATCATGGAAAGTTCTCTACTAAGGTTTCACTGGATGTTTGTTCAACCAACAACATATTTATAAAGTAAACCAAAGTCCCCCCCACCTCCTGAAAATAACGATAAATATTTTCCTTACTAGACTACAAGATAAAATGACAGAATAGCTGAAAATGCATATTAATACCTTTAAAGTCATATTAAACATATTTACAGAAAAGTAGTTGAGGCTAGATGGTCTGAATTCTTAAAAAAAAAAGACTGATTTGGTTTATTTTTATGCATTTAAACGTTGGTTTGAATATATACTTTCGTCTTTTGTGGGGAAAACATCCCAACAGCCACACGTTAAACAATATTAACTTTGGTGAAAAAATATTTTCCAGGTTAGCTGTAACCTCTTAGCGCCCTCTGGTGGCGAGGGAGGGATTTACACCTTTATTGGAAAACCATCAGAATTTGATCAAGTTCCTCTCATGATTGTTTAATGAATGAAGGACTTTATCCAGTAAATAATACATCTAACACATGCAATCATTGTGTGGAATGACATCTATAATTATATATCTAGTTTCGTGCTCCAGTCTAGCAGGAGTGTGAAAAAGGGAAAAATGTCTAAAAGGTGCTTTTCCTTCGCCCATTATTTCCAGTTATGAACTCCAACAGAAAATGGTTTCAGCAGAGTCTGGATCAGCGAGTTGGTAATCGACTCATCAGAGCAAAAATAACCGTACAGTTTTTCTAAAGGTCATCAGGAAATATAAGAACTCTGGTGGCAGAAAGCAGCGCTTCCTTCACCTCAGAGCAAGAAATATTTTAAAAATGGCTTCACTTTCAGCAGGAAGCTTCAAACAATAATATTTACCAAAAACAGACAACCGTAGATTCTATAAAATCAGCTATAATAATAATAATAAAACATTTTATTTAACAGCACATTTCTAGACACTCAAGGTCACTTTACAAAAAATAAAAATTAATATACAAAAATAAAAATACAGCAACATAAAAACAATTCTGGGGAGGGACAAGAGCAGGAAGCTCCACATCTCTGCCTTCATGGTGGCAAACTACATTAAGATCCACAATTATGAGATTAAAGCCAGAATTCTGACAATAGAAAATAGAAATAAACACTTATAGAGTGTCGATATATTGATGAGACCTTTGTTCAACTAAAGATCAGAAAGATTAAAGTTGTTGGTTGAATAATTCTACTCTGAACAATAAACATTGCAGAAGAATCACTAAAAGTCCTGATAGATGAGTATTCAAACTGTTGCTGAGAGTAAATTCAAACGGAATAATTGCTTCATTACAAGGTTGTACCATCAATATAAGAACAGATAGAGTGAAATAAAACTCCAGCTCCCAGCACAAACGCCTCACAAAAACCTCTCGCGAAAGTAATGCACACTCTAATGCAACATTAAAGTCAATCAAACAAAGATCCCCTGCTCTGTTTGCTGGTTTCTGTTACTGCGCTTCATTGAGAAACAGACAAAAGACATGAGCCCCACACGGAGAGAGTCCATTAGTCAAGACACTCGGGCACAAACATCTGAAGTCAACCAATAAAACAAACTCATGCATCTAATCCTAAAAAAAAGAAAATAGTCTAAACGGATTCACTAATCAGTTTTCTAGTCTGGTTCCGGTTTATTATTCCCCCATATTAAACTGAAGTAAAAATTTAAAATCAGTTAACTTTTTTTTTTTCAGTGGCCCTAATCATCTTCCGTACATTAAATTGTCACATGTATAGAGCAATAAAATCCCCTCTGTGCATTTAATCCCTCCCCTTGGCGAGTATGGAAAAAATGCTGTCTCATCAGAATCTGACTTTCTTGTACACCGCATTTTATTTTTATTTCTAATTTTTATTTTGTTCTTCATTGTGTGTGATACCTGTACACTTGCACCTTAATTCTTATTTATCTTGATATACTGTATATACAGTGCTTGCTTGTTTATTCTTAATGCACCTTTTTCCTCGTTTGCACTTTTAATCACTATGCCAATATGTGACCAGTGAATTTTTTTAGCACTGATTTTTTTTTTTAAACATCGAATAGCTTACATAATTTACAACTTTTATCTGGTAAAAATTCACCTGCTAATAATTAGCTTCACAGCTAACGTGGCACCCGTCTGCTAAGGCTCTTGGTTTGATCGCTTTCTGACCAAATGAGCTCATTTCATTGGCTAGAAGCGGCTCCACTGCATCGAGCGCAGATTGTTTTGCCTTCAGTTCACCAAGCTCACATTTGCAGTCTATTTTTTTGCAGCTGAATTTAAAATCTAGTGTTTAAAATTCAGTGTACAAAAAAAGGCCGATTCCAATGAATCCGTTTTCCTTCCATAGGGAAGCTGTTGGCCATTGTGCGGCGCCCGGGGAGCAGTGTGGGGTTAAGGGTCTTGCTCAGGGGCCCAGAGTGTCAGTCTGTGGGAGTAGAGCTCAATGCTCCGTTCTCATCCTCAGAGGAAAACCTCCTTTCTCTGATTCTTTCATCTGCAGGAGAAAAAGTATGAAAAATACAAACCAGTCCAGACATTTTTGAAAAGGTTTATTTCGTTTGCTTTTAATTACATCTCTATTTACAGTATTTCAAACATCCATCGCTTCAAATCACTAAAGCAACAGGTTCAGCTCCTGTGTTTAGGGGAAAGTTTGGCTCCGCCCTCTTTTAGCCTCCTTTGGGCGTTCAGCAGGAGGCTCAGTGCGGCGCAGAGGACGGGCCGACTGCAGCAGCCGCCATCTTCATGTCCATCCAACCACTTCTCCACATCGGGGGGGGCCGTCCGATTAAAACATGTAGCTAATTATTTCTGCTGCTTTTAGGTTTTAAAAATACCTATTCATTTATATTTTTAATTTGAAAACCAGATCATTAAAATTAACTTTCCTGTTTTTGAAGGAAGAAACAGAATGAATCCGTCTGCAGGGCGTGTCCTACAGTCAGTCCGCTCTAACCGGAGGGGGGGGGGCTGATGCTTATGAAGTAAAACAAACGGTATAAACCCAAACAGGGCCATACAGAGAACCAGTCTGTACTGGTAGATATATACTGGTTTATGTCTGGAGCTCAGCAGCTGAATATTTCAGTAAACGCATCTGTAAAGTCATTTGACCTTTGACCCAGGGCGTCTAAACAACATGGCTGAAGAACGCAGAGATCGGCAGAGCAGATTTCTACTCTATGGTTTAATCCATGAAACGGTGAACAGAACAGAAGCTAAATGGACCAGAGGTTGGATCGTCTACCGCCGCCGCCGAGCGTCACAGGGAGAACCAGGCAGGACTCAGAACGTGTAGCCAGCAGGGGGCGCCTTGTCGTCTTTGTTGCTCTCCAGGGAGAACGGAGGAATCCGGACATCGAAGTGGGAGCCGTCGGTTCTCTCGATGCGAAACGTCCCCCTAAAGAAGAACAGGTTAGAGTGGTGGAGAACATCTGGATGCAGGCGGAGCCAGGAGAAGATGGCTGCCTGAGGAGATCTGATTCACAACATCTGGAGAACATCAGCAGGACATCAAAAGGATCCATATAGAGACCAGATGCTTTTATTATCGGCATCGGAAACTTTTCCTGTTTTGTGTTAAGATACGATAAACTTCAGACATGTTCAAACAGCTGGTTTGGATTTTACTCAGAGAAGTTAGCAGGTTTATACAGGAATGGCTAACTCTAACTTAATGCTTTCTCAATTAGTTTTTATTAGGGATTCACGATATAATCGGCTCCCTATCGGTATCGGCCTTAAAAATTAATATCGGACATCGGCCACCCCACCGATATTTAACCCGATATTTGATCAGCTTCTGAGTTTCTAAAGTCTAAAAAAAAAATAAAATACTACTTCTTCTTCTTCCTCAAAAACTTCTTTTTTACAGACTTAAAAACTTCTAAAGACGAGGGAAAAAATATTGATACATTAAAATATCCCAATATCTTCATATGCTGATATATTGCCATTTAAAAACACCATATCAATCTCTTTTACTAATATTGCTATATGTCATCGTTATGCTACGAAATCCCCCGAAAATTCACCAAATGTTGCCATATTTTTATATGTTGATATATTGACGCGGTATCGATCTATTTTACTAACAAAATCTCACAAGAATTTGCAAAATATCACGAGAGTTTGTAACAGAACGATGAAATTTCACCAGATTTTGAAAGTAAAATAGATCGATACCGCGTTTTTAAAAATCTATTTGATATCAGCATATGAAAATATATTTGAGTATATTATTTTTCAAAGTGTCAGAAATGGATAACAAAACTGCTATTTTCAATGACTACTTATTTTTGTCCAGCTTTAACATCGGTATCGATATCGGTTATCGGCTACATGAGTTTTAAAATATCGGATATCGGCCAAAATCCCAATATCGTGCATCTCTAATTTTTACAGTTTTTATTTATTTTTTTACAGCACTAGTGGCTCGTTTGTTTTATGAACAGACCGACTGTACGAGAGAGAGGGAGAGACGGGACCACAGGCAGGATTCAAACCCGAGGACCAAGGCCTCCGTACATGAGCCGTGTGCGCTAACCACTGTGCCGCCAAACCACAGCCGACTCTAACACTTTTTAATACTTAACGGTTTTAGAAATTATTTTAATGGCATCAAAAAGCTTCTTTATATCTATAGATAAAATCTGCCTGAAGCTTCTTTTCCAAACATACAGCTTTACGATCAACCTGAAGAACCAGTTATATCTGATATATCGGACCAAATTGTTTTTATACTTTTTTTTATTTTAAATTAAGTATTATAAATGCCACAATAATCACATTTAATGAATTTTAATGCCAATTAAGGCCTTAATTAAAACAATTATTTAATGACTTTTAATGATTTTTAATGACTTTTTAAACCCTGGTTTGGTTCAACCAAACTCAACCTTCCTTAAATCAGTAAACATGTTAAAGTTTCCACCCTATGGTAAAGGATTAGGGACATTCTAAGGGAAAGTGTTGTTTTTATTACCCAAATAAAGACGTAACATTAAATCTACCAGGTTTTATGTAACGTCACATAAGAACGTCAGTCTAATGTGACGTCATTATGAATTTGAAATCTTAATATCACAAATTAAAGAAAACTTAAATCAACAGAATAAAGCTACGTTCAGATCGCTAGCTGCAGCTGGTTTCCATGCAAAGTCAATGTTGATGCGCATCAGAAGACCAAAAGACCTTCTCATTCAAAGAGTTTTCTTTATTTTCATGACTATAAAAATTGTAGATTGACACTAAAGGCATCAAAACTATGAATGAACACATGAAGAATTATATACGTAACAAAAAAGTGTGAAACAACTGAAAATCTATCTGATATTCCAGGTTCTTTAAAGTCGCCTCCTTTAGCTTTGATCACTGCTTCGCACACACCTGGCGTTCTCTTAATGAGCTTCCAGAGGCCGTTGCCTGAAATGGTTTCACTTCACAGGTGTCCCTGTCAGGTTTAATAAGTGGGATTTCTTAGCTTATAAATGAGGTTGTTTTGAGCGGAAGTCATGTGGATCCACAGCTGATAGTCCAACTGAATAGACTGTTAGAATCTAGATTATGGCAAGAAAAAAGCAGCTAAGTAAAGAAAAACGAGCGACCATCATTACTTTAAGAAATGAAGGTCAGTCAGTCTGAAAAATTGGTAAAACTTTGAAAGTGTCTCCAAGTGCAGTCGCAAAAACCATCAAACGCTACGAAGAAACTGGCTGACATGAGGACCGCCCCAGGAAAGGAAGAGCAGGAGTCGCCTCTGCTGCGGAGGAGAAGTTTATCCGAGTCACCAGCCTCAGAAATCTGAGGTTAACAGCAGCTCCGAGTAGAGAGCAGGTCAATGAAACACAGAGTTCTAGCAGCAGAAACATCTGTAGAACATCTGCTAATAGGAGACTGTGTGAATCAGGCCTTCATGGTCGAACAGCTGCTAGGAAACCGCTGCTAAGGCAACAAGCAGAGAGACTAGCTTTAAAGAAGACCAGGAATGGACATTAGACCAGAGTGTGTCACCATTGTGTCTGTGTGACGCAGAAATGGTGAACGGATGGACTCTACATGCCTGGTTCCCACATGAAGCATGGAGGAGGAGGTGTGATGGTGTGGGGAAGCTTTGCTGGTCACACTGTTGGGGATTTATTGAGAATCAAAGGCATCCTGAACCAGCATGGCTGCCACAGCATCCTGCAGCGTCATGCTATTCCATCCGGTTTGCATTTAGTTGGAGCATCATTTATTTTTCAACAATGACCCCAAACACTAGCCTGGTGAGACCATCCTGATCTCGCGAGCTTTCAAGGTTTCACTCGCAGATCAGTCTGGAGACTCTCCGTTGAAGAAAATTTGGAGCCGTTCACCAAACGAACGTCCAATCAGCGTTGGCTTTGAGGCGGGTTGAGGTGTGACGCAACGAGAAGCGCGACAGTTCAGTCTAAAGAACATGGCGGCTTCAGCCGATGAAACTAGCGTTAGCGTGGCTATCGAGCAAGTTTTATCGGAATTACAGAGTATTTCTTCACTGAAAGAAGAGCAAAACACTGCTCTGGAGGCTTTTCTCAGAGGAAAAGATGTTTTTGCTCTTCTCCCGACTGGTTTCGGCAAGAGTTTGATCTATCAATTGGCTCCTCTTCGTCGTCGCTCTGTTAGTACGTCATATGCTTCATTGATCTGATTGGTTTATTTGGCCCGTCTATCACCAACATAGGCCAATCAGCTAACCAGTATTTTCGCCCCTTCCCAAAATTACTTCAACGGAAGGTTTCCAGATGGATATGTGGAGCAAATCTCGGGGGGAGTCAGGTTACCCAAACACACCTCCAGGCTGTGGAAGGCCTATATGACCAAGAAGGAGAGTGATAGGCTGCTGCTCCAGATGACCTGGCCTCCACCATCACTGGACCTGAACCCAGTCCAGATGGTTTGGAGTCAGCTGGACCACAGAGTGAAGGCTAAAGGGCCAACAGGTGATCAGCTTCTCTGGGAACTCCTTCAGGACTGATGGAAACCATTTCAGGGACGGCCTCTGGAAGCTCATCAACAGAACGCCAAGAGTGAGCGAAGCTAAAGGAGGCTACTTTGAAGAACCTAGAATATAAGACATGGTTTCAGTTGTTTCACACTTTTTTTGTTTAGTATATAATTCCACGTGTTCATTCATAGTTTTGATGCCTTCAGTGTGAATCAACAATTTTCACAGTCATGAAAATAAAGCAAACTCTTTGAATGAGAAGGTGTGTCCAGATATTTGGTCTGTACTGTATATTAATAACATATATGATCAATCATCCAATCAGGGATCATCTAAACAGCAGAGTTTTCCATCCAGTTGGTTGGAGGTGAGGCTTCTGGGTCAGGAATCATTTTTGAACTCAGTGACCCAGAATATTACAGAAGAATCCAGAAGAAGCATGAAACCAAGAAGGATCCAAAGGATCAGAAACTGGAAGGTTTGTGTTTAACCTGGACGGGCAGCGGCTCAGGTGTGATGGCTGCTGTAGCAGGACTCTGTCTGTAAACTATTAACGGTTAGCAGGACGGAGGACGGCTTCCTCACCACATGTGGCCGCTTGGAGCTTGTAGAGAGACATGGCTGCTGTACTGGAAGGCTGGCTGTTCTTTAGATAACACGGGTTCCTGGAAGCACAGAAAACAGCCAGTCAACAGGAGGCGCTGTAGAGTCAACAGCAAATAATAAAACTGTTTAATAATAAATCAGTCAGCATCAAAATGTTTAGTCTGATCCTGTTAGATATTAAAAACTAGAACAAAAGTCAGAGGAGAGACGCCTTTTATATATTTAGTTCAGAAACTTCAGATCATTGTTTATAAGTACTTTCATTTAACCTTTATTAGTCACTAAAGGTCGTCTAATGTCATTAATAGAGACCGATATCCACCTCAAAGGGACCGTTCTGATAAATCCAGTCTTTATTCTTTTCTGAAACTGCTTTAAAATAATAAACTAATTACCAAACAGCTACGATCAGATTCTCCTCCCAAAGCTTCTGATTAATCAACGCTAAACTTCATGCAGTCAATTCAGGTAATGGATAAAAATTAAAAACATTATTTCATAAACGACAAAGATTTAACGCCAGGCTTCTCTCTAGCTTGAAGCTGCAGATCAGAGCAGATGAACCAAAGCGTCGAAGGAACCGACCACAGTTTGATCCAGAGTCCAGATTTCAGCGTTTTTGGCGCTTGGCTCTGAACGCAGCATCAGAGCTTTTGTTTTCTGATGATCAGTGGCGCCGCAGAGGGAACCAGATCTGCTCGGGTCCTGCTTCCTGCCAGCGACGCTACATGACTGGCTGAACGTTTCCACATGATGTAGCGTTAGCGCGTCTAATGACCGATGAAGTTTCACCTGATCGATAACAAAACTGAAATAAATCTGTTTCTGGTGAACAAAGTCACCGTTAGACTGTGAAATAAAGAGCTGGGTAGCGCTGTGGCTAGCTGTAGCTAACAGGTTAGCTTCTTTGCCATATTGAGCTACAATATTTATAAATTTGTGTCAAAAACAACCGTTTGTTTTCTACAAGAAGAATAACTTGTTTTCTTCGTCTAAAATCTCTATGAAAGTCATTTTTAGGATGTTCCATCCGTCCTCCTCTGACCTCAGATCTTCATAAAAAGAATAAAAATAAACAGACTGTTTTTGTCTCCTTGTTAAGCAGCAGAGCTCAGCCTTAGAAGCAGAACTTTCCCTCCAGACTGACGATGATTGTTTTCTACTTTCAGCTGCTTTAGATCATCAATGAAATGCAAAATAATAGCAAATATAGGGAATAATAAGTTTAGACTCCGGAAGAGATTTGATCCATAAAAAAGTTTGTCTGAGTGGAGTTGCCGTATGATGATGTCATAAGAAGTGGCGGGCCCTGAGCAGATGTGGTAGCTACGGCGTAACAGAAGCGTACTGACCCTTCCTACGACGCCTCGGCCCCGGACCGTCTCCAAGGTTCCCGACAGGCTGAAGATCCTCCAGTGTCTCTCTCTCAGCTGCACCACCTCGCTGCCCAGGTTCTCCAGACGGATGCAGTAGCGCCACTGCAGGACAACCACACATTTTCAGTTGGTCTGCATGAAGCTTGGACCAAACGGCGGCTTCCTGTTACTCACCCAGTAAACGTGGGAGTTCTGTGCTTCCTGAGAAGCAGAATAAAAACAAACGCATTAGAAGAGAAGGAATAAAGCTGAGCAGAAGGCAGAGCAGCGTGCTGCTGAAGCACCCACCCTCAATCCCATGTAGAAGGGGATGACGGTGACCCGGATGTTCTCCGTCGTCTCCCTGTGGACATCTGACAGCTCCAGCCAGGGGTGGTTCTTCTCCTGCCAGGCCTTCAGGGTGTCTCTGGCCGTAAACGGAGGAGCTGGGATGTGCAGAGAAGAAGAAGAAGAAAACGAGGTTCCCTCAGAGAGCTCCAGCATCAGAGCGAAGACGAGCAAAGAGTGAGGAAGAGCGTTTACCTTTGGTAGGGTTGTACATGAGGAAGCGCTCAAACAGCTCGTGCTGGATGGGGACCTGCTCTGCTGAGTTATACGGCAGGATGTCCTCATGGCTCACATAATCCAGACCTGGTGGGGGGGACAGGGACACCTTCATCTGTCTGTCTGTCTGTCCAGCTCCGCTCAGACACTCCAGGCATCAGCTAATCACACCGATCGTCTATTAGCCGCTTTTATTTTCTGATTGTCTCCATCTTTTCTTCTTCAGTGCCCTCCACTTTAAGATCTAAATTAAGTTTTTTCCCTTCCTACCTACTAAACTATAACGTGTTAAAGGTTAATAATACATTTCCTGAGAAAATAAATGCATTTAAATCCTATTTTATCAGTCGTCTGTCTGATCTGCACAGGAAATGGGATGCTACGCTACTACCAGGAGATAACCGTTTCAGCTTTGGATTTAAACATCAATCTAGTCTTTCTGAGTTTTATGTTTTCCTTTCGTGTTAACATTACGGTATATAGTGTCTAATCTAAAGAGAGAAAATACTAAAATGCAGATAAAGATGGTTTAATCGGATTTACTGCTCTGAGCATTTCCCATGATGACGTCAGAGAAGCAGTTCAATGAAGAAAACATAAAAAGCATCAAAATAATTTTTAAAATTTGTGTATTAGCATTAATTTTGTGAGTTAAGGATAGATATAAAGTACTTTTAGTATATAATTATATTATTTATGGTGACTTGGATGAATATGAGCCAATGAGCTTCCGGGACGATCAGGTAGCTCGTCTTCTTCTGCAGTCATGTCCGCTGCTACATTCTGGCCTGGATGTTCTTACCAACAGTTCATGAATTTCAATATAAAGTTTATCTGATGACTGAGACCCAGCAGCAAAGCTGACATTGCAAAAGAATTATTATACATTTTTCTTAATTAAATGTTGACCTGACTTGAGGAAAAAACATCAAAAATCAAACAGTTTTTCCTTTTTTTTCCAGATTTATGTAAATTAAACATGATAAACGTTTTACTCTCCCAAAGGTGTTCAGGCTGAAGCTGCTGATCGGATCGTTTCATACCTGGGATGGCGTACAGCGCTCTGCTGTCATCATGGTTGGCCAGAAACGTCACGGCTTCAGTCTGAGACCTCTGGGACTGTCGGACAGAACAAACCGTCACACATGAAGCTTAGCTAACATAGACCTCCCTGCTGATGCTATCAGATTAATGGAAGAGCAGAAGGTGATTAAAACAAGAGAGCGTCTCTAAAGCAGACATGGCTACGGCTGGATGCTAACATGTTTGTTAGCTGCCAGAACTCTGTGGAAAAAAGTCTGAATTCCTTTTTCCAATATTAAACTGAAATATTTAAAAATCACTTAACTTCTTTTTTTTCAGTGGCAAAAATCAGTAATTAACTGTTTATTTCAGCAGCCTGGACCTTGAATATTTTCAACCACTAGATGGCAGCACAGTTTTTCCACTGATGAGATGTTTTTCCTCTGAACCACAAGATCTGGGTTTATTTTTATTAAATTAGACTAAAAGGAATTAGGGTTAAAAACTAGAGGAAAGGAGCAGAAAGTTCAGATATTCTATAGAGAAGAATAAATAGGTTAATATTTCCTCTGCTGTAAAATCATTACCAGTCTTTGGTAAAATGTTTGTAGCATCGAGAGAAAAACTGACAGAACTAGAATCAAAGAAGTTGAGAGTTGGAAAGAAGTGGAAGTAAAAACATTTTATGGTCTTTGATTCATGTTTCCAGGAGATTTCTTTAGAAATGAACCAGAGTTGGTCAGGATTTCAGCTTGATTAGCAAATTAGGAGTTAAAAAGTAAAATAATCCAGATTCCAGAAGGAAATAACAGATGGTGAGGAAGTTAGGAAGCAAATGAGACTCTGCTGGGTGGAAAAAGAGACATAAATGCAGAATTTTCTCTAAACTTTGAACATCGGTTCTAAAACACCCTGGATTTCCTGCCAACATTTTCCAAATCTTAGACTTTAAGAAAGTCGAGCTAGAATGCTAACTGCTAATGAGACTAAAAGTGTTAAAGGAAAAGTCGCTCATATTCAGAATTCAAACTCCTGAAAGTTCTTTAGATCTGAAATGATTCCATCCTGTTCAATAAATGATCAGTGTTGTTAATTCAGAGTAATTTTCATGTGAATGTGCTTTACTGGAGGCATCCATGTTTGTCAAAGAACACTACTGCCACCTACTGGTTAGTGACATTGTCACGGTGCGGTATCGGCTGTTGATCAAGTCCCAGTGCTGTATCTGGTGTTTGTCACAACGCGCTATTATCCAAGTCATCTTGAAAACATTCTTCTTCCAAATGTTGGCTACATATTACGGGTTTTTTCTCTGGCCAGAAGTTCGATGGCAAATCCTCCCTCTTCAAGTTGGCGATCCAACGACCAACCCGTCCGTGGAGGATCAGGAATCAGAAAGGTGGAATAACTCTTTTTTCCACTTTTACCCGATGTATTCCAGCATCCAGCTGCCATGCACGTGGGCATTGTCAGTTTCACTATAGCTCTGGTGAATTTCAATGGTGAAGTCCTCTGGAAATCTTCAATAATTGTTGTTGATTGCAGATGTGTCTAGTAGTTCCCATTGATTTAGCTTGGAAAGCGGGGAGAATGGCGCTAGGCTTACCGCACCGTGACGTCACTGCTGGAAGATGGCAGGAGGGAGGGGCTACTATATTTGGACAAAAATGGCCGCTCCCAGACTCAATGAACGCCAAGAAAATTCTTATTTTATTTTAATCACTGCGAATGTATTAGCCTTAGGTATAAATAATGATCCATTGATTATTCCTGCTGACCGAACTTTTCCTTTAATACTAGCATGAAATGTTGCCATGTGACTCAGGTAACAACTAAAAACAATTCTGGGAACAGCGATCCAAACAGACCGGATGAAAATCTTAGATCAGGATGGATGGGTGGCGTCTTCACCCGAACGGATTCGCTGCTGAGCTGAACGCTCCTCCGTGAACGCAGGTTTGGATTAAAGCGTTTCTCTGAAGGTCAAACAGACTTACGATGTGAGGACAGTCCCTGGTGTCGATCAGGACCTGGTAGTAGGTGTGAGTCTTCCCCTTCACCTCCTTGGAGCCGTGGGCTCCGGGCGGCGGCTCCGGTTGGCTTAGAGAGGAAACATCAGAGCTTCAACATCGTCTCAACGCCACAGAACTGGAGGCAGAAACAATGTGGGGAGGGGGGAGGTTACCTGTCAGACACTGGAGGGGTGATGTCTCGGTCATAGAGGCGGGCGTGCCACGGAAACAGAACGATACCTCTGTAGCCAAACACACTGTGGAGAAACAGCTGAGAACAGAAAGGAGAGAAAACAGATCAATCCCACAGATTAGGACCGGCGGTTTAGATGGGATTACAGACGGAATGGGATCAGGCTACAGCGCGAAGAAACAGATCGATGATCCTTACTCTGAATTTTTAGATGAGTTTTCAGAGTTCCTTTCTGATTTGGTATTAAATACTGACAGGGTCATCATAGTGGGAGATTTTAACATCCATGCTGACATTGAAGGCGATAGCTTAAGAGCAGCCTTTAATGCTATCTTAGACACTATTGGCTTTGTTCAAAATGTGAATAGTCCCACGCATTCTCATCTTCATACTTTGGATCTTGTGCTGACATACGGCATAGAATGTGAAGAAATAACAGTATTTCCTCACAACCCTGTCCTCTCTGACCACTTTCTAATAACCTTCAGGATTACTTTAACAGAGTTCTCCTCCCCCAAAAGAAGGTTCAATTTTAGTAGATCTTTATCAGATAGTGCAGTTATAAATTTTAAAGAATCTGCTTCACTTTCTCTCTGCTCTGTGTCAGTGAGCAGTGCTGCAGAGTGCAAAAGCTTAGCTTATTCCCCTTCACAGGTTGATGATTTTGTTGATGGGGTTGCTAGTTCTCTGCGTATTGCCTTAGACAACGCAGCTCCTTTGAAAATGAAAACCGTTAAAAATAGAAAGCTTGCTCCTTGGTTTAATGCAGAGCTGCGTACTTTGAAGCAAAATGCTAGGAAACTGGAGAGAAAATATCGCTCCACAGGCCTGCGAGAGTCCTTCCTAGTCTGGAAAAATGGTTTACTGCTGTATAAGAGGACCCTTTGTAAAGCAAGAGCAGCATACTTCTCCTCATTAATAGAGGAGAATAAGAATAATCCTAGATTTCTTTTTAATACAGTTGCCAAACTCACCCAGAGCCATAGCTCTGTTGAACCGTCCATTCCACCTGCTCTTAGCAGCAATGATTTTATGGGATTCTTTATAAATAAGATTGATCTTATTAAAAATAAGATCATAAGCACTCCTCTATCCGCGATTGTACCTGAGGTAGTCATGGAATCTGAACCGGGTTTAGACTGCTTTGATCCAGTTGAACTCTCTGAATTAGCAAAATTATTGTCTTCATCTAAGCCTTCAACTTGTATGTTAGATCCAGTTCCAACCAGGTTATTTAAAGGAATAGTACACCCAAAACATGATTAGCCTTCATTTTCTACTCACCTCCATGCTGAACAACACTCTGGAGTACTTTTTTGATATCTCAAATGCATCTGGAGATCTGGGAGGCTTCTTGCTGTCTGCTGACATTCAAATAATGGAGGTCCATGGCGCCCGAGACAGAAAGGTCCATAAAAGTCCACAAAAACGTGTCAATATTCCTCCATACTGCTCGTCCAATGTAATCCAAGTGTCCTGAGTGGGTAGCATCCAGAATTTACTCGAAACGAAGTCATTTAGAATGTTTTTAGAGCATAAACAGTAGTGTATAGGATTTCCTAATAGCGCCCCCATGCGCGCTCACGATTCTACGGAAGCCGGCAGACCAAACCAGCGCATTCAGCTCGGCAAAGAACTCATGCTCTTCCTCAACACTGAAGTCCTCAGACATTTTTCTTTCGTTGTTTCTTTCTTTGCACAGGTAAACAGCACATTTCTTCTTCTACGCTTGCATTATCGGCAGACCAGACGCTGAATGCGCACTTTCTTCCGGTTTGGTCTGCCGGCTTCCGTAGAATCGTGAGCGCGCATGGGGGCGCTATTAGGAAATCCTATACACTACTGTTTATGCTCTAAAAACATTCTAAATGACTTCGTTTCGAGTAAATTCTGGATGCTACCCACTCAGGACACTTGGATTACATTGGACGAGCAGTATGGAGGAATATTGACACGTTTTTGTGGACTTTTATGGACCTTTCTGTCTCGGGCGCCATGGACCTCCATTATTTGAATGTCAGCAGACAGCAAGAAGCCTCCCAGATCTCCAGATGCATTTGAGATATCAAAAAAGTACTCCAGAGTGTTGTTCAGCATGGAGGTGAGTAGAAAATGAAGGCTAATCATGTTTTGGGTGTACTATTCCTTTAAGGAGGTATTCCCTTTGATCTCCTCCTCCATTTTAGATGTGATTAATCTATCTCTGTTACAGGGATATGTACCTAAAGCTTTTAAGATTGCTGTAATTAAACCTCTGCTTAAGAAACCGTCTCTTGACCCAGATGACTTGGTCAATTATAGACCTATATCCAATCTTCCTTTCTTATCCAAAATTCTTGAGAAAGTAGTTGCCAAACAAGTTTGCGATCACTTCCACCATAATGAACTTTTTGAAGAGTTTCAGTCTGGCTTTAGAGCTCATCATAGCACTGAAACAGCTCTGGTGAAAGTCACTAATGATATTCTCATGGCCTCAGATAATGGACTTGTATCTGTGCTCGTCCTGTTGGATCTTAGTGCTGCATTTGATACAGTTGACCATAATATTCTTTTAGAAAGACTTGAATATTTTGTTGGAATTAAAGGAACAGCACTAGACTGGTTTAAATCTTATCTATCTGATCGAATTCAGTTTGTTCATGTTAATGATAGATCTTCAACACGCTCAAAGGTTACCTGTGGAGTACCACAGGGATCAGTGCTAGGACCAATTCTCTTTACTTTATACATGCTCCCAATTGGTAGAATTATTAGACAGCATGGGATTAATTTCCACTGTTATGCTGATGATACCCAGCTATATCTGTCTATAAATCCAGATGAAGCTAACCCATTACATAGATTACAGGCATGTCTTGAAGACATAAAAACCTGGATGACTCTTAACTTTCTGCTTCTGAATGCAGACAAAACAGAAGTTATAGTCTTTGGACCAGAGTCTCTGAAAAAGAAACTGATTAGCCAGTCACTTCATTTGGACGGGATTAAACTGATTTCAGATAATAAAGTAAAAAATCTTGGTGTTATTTTTGATCAGGACCTGTCATTTAAATCCCATATCAAAGAGGTTTCTAGAATTTCCTTCTTTCATCTGAGGAACATTGCAAAAATTTGAAATATCCTGTCCAGGGGTGATGCTGAGAAACTAGTCCATGCATTTGTTACTTCAAGGCTGGACTATTGTAATTCTTTACTATCAGGAAGTCCACAAACTGTAGTTAAAAGCCTTCAGCTGATCCAAAATGCTGCAGCCAGAGTTCTAATGAAAATGAAAAAGAGAGATCATATCTCTCCTATCCTGGCTTCTCTTCATTGGCTTCCTGTTAAATCAAGAATAGAATTTAAAATCCTCCTTCTCACATATAAAGCCTTAAATGGCCAAGCTCCATCTTATATCAGAGATCTGATTGTTCCTTATGTTCCTAACAGAGCACTTCGCTCTCAATCTGCAGGTTTACTAGTGGTTCCTAGAATTTCTAAAAGTAGAATGGGAGGCAGATCTTTTAGTTATCAGGCTCCTCTCCTGTGGAACCAACTACCAGTTTTAGTCCGTGAGGCAGACACCCTGTCTACTTTTAAGGCTAGGCTTAAAACTTTCCTTTTTGATAAAGCTTATAGTTAGGGTGGCTCAGGTTATCCTGAGCTATCTCTATAGTTATGCTGCTATAGGCTTAGACTGCTGGAGGACATAGGGACCCCCATTTCATCATTCTGCTTCATTCTCTCTCTGTTCTCCTATTCTGCAGAATCTGTTAGTTCAATCTCTAACCTTCTGCTCTCTCTGCTTTTCCTCAGAGTAGCTTTGCCTCGTCTGTTCCTGTTTGGCTGTGACGTCATCCTGGAAAAAAACATCAGCTGTGCTGCTTCTATCAACACCCTTGTTAATAGATGTTGGAGATCGGCCTGTTTTCCAGTGTGGTCCTGTTTCTCTGACCGTGACTGAGTGGATGTGCTCTCTTCGTCCTCTGGCATGGGAGCTGCCTTGGAGCTCGTCTGCCTGGCTGTGTGTTTCCTGGACGGGGCCGCCTTTTACAGCTTTTTGTATCTCTGCTTCTGTCTCCTTGAACCCCAGTCGGCCTCGGCAGATGGCCGCTCACACTGAGCCTGGTTCTGCTGGAGGTTTCTTCCTGTTAAAAGGGAGTTTTTCCTCTCCACTGTCGCTACAAGCATGCTTAGTGTGGGGGATTGTATTTGAGTCAATGAGTCAATGCAATCAACTGGTTTTCCTTAGATAGAAAACTTTGTATCAATTTGACTGTATGATCTGGTTGAACTGTAAAGTGCCTTGAGATGACATGTGTTGTGAATTTGGCGCTATATAAATAAACTGAATTGAATTGAATCTATAGACGATGCTGGGATTAAAAACCAGAATCTTCTGATCAGATATCAACTAAAAACTGTTAGAGGAATAAATCTAAAATCCTGACAGAAACACTTTGGTTTAAATTAATCTGAGCCTTTGGTTGAACAGATCTTCTCACACAAAATTTAGTTTTTTTTTTGTTTTGTTTTTTTATTGCCCCTGATGGAGCCTCCTGGGCTTCCGTAGCTCAGTGACATCCGTTCCCTCAGTATGGGGCGCGTTGATCAACCTGCTGATGCTGGAAGATCGGTGATCGGTCGATCCTGGACGTAGAGCTGCAGCTAAACAATAATCTGCCAGTTATTTTTTGGATTAATCGCTTAATAATCTGATAGCCAAAGGTTGCTTAAAGAAAACTTTTCAAAGATTAAACCAGGTGAATCTAAACAGGGGTTGACGTTAAGGATTTTTACTGACTTTCACATTTCATTTGCCCAGAAACAATTTTTACTTGCCCAGTATAATGTTTGATAAACATAGTTCCTAATATTCATTTTTGTATATATATATCAATGAAACATGTTTGGTTTTTTAAATGTTTTTTTGTAATTCAGTATTTTTTAAGTTTCCAGGTTCCTGGTGTGTATCTGCATGCGTCAGATAATGAACTCAAGCCTACATTACCGTGTTAACATGCTTTTCAATCCTTCCTGCACATTCTTTTCAAACTAAAATCTGCTTTAAACTGTTGTGTGCTTGGAAAAATATAAAATGTAATGTTAAAAATCTAAAAAAAACTTGACAGGTTAAAAACTTAAGATAAATCACAAGACAGAAGTATAACTTTTAATAAATAACTTTTATTTTAGAGTCACGGTATGTTTATAGAAGATAATACTATTAATATAATGAGACTTTTCTAGAGAATCATTCTACATAGTTATTTTATTCAGGGTTTCCACAGTCTGACATCATTTGAGAATTCCCTGACTTTTAACTGACTCAGGATTAGGGATGGGGATCGTTAATATTTATTGATATCGATACCTTTATCGATACTCCTTATCGATCCAAGTCTTTATCGATACTACTATCGATACTTTTCTGTTATTTGGTGGATGCGACAATATGTTTTTACCAGAACTGGTATTGCTTTTATTGCTTAACAAGTGAGCATAACAAAAACGTTTCTAGCCTTCAATGAACATGGCTAATGTAATAGGCCACTTCGAAATGACATAAAACTAACTAGAATATATCAGCAGCACCAAATGAAAAATAAAATGTCATAATGTATATAAATTAAATAAATAATATGCTGTGTCACAAAAAAGGAAATAAAATATCAGCTCATAAATTAACAGGTATTTTTTTGCAGAGAAATTAACATGTCTGTCACTTTTCATCATGTTTTTAGTGATTAGGAAAATATTTAGCAAATAAATAATTGTATTTTAAATTAAATGTAATTTTTAATAAATGTTGGCATCAGTAGTTTAATTATATATTCTAAAATAATTAGAGCAATACACAACTGTATTACTCATGTTTCTCGCCAAAACCTCAATTTCCCTTTTCTTTACGTTACACTTGAACGCATCATGATTGTCGTTTCACTGAGTCAATCTGAACACATCATCACGCAGCACGTCTGAAACTTTATTTACTTTTCAAGTTAACTAGCTTGTATGCTGCCGATTACAACACGGATTTCACAATTACTATTTTTAACTGACCGGACAAGCTACAAAGTCTGTGTGCGCTGACCAGTGGTACTCTGAGTGGATGATTAAGAGGGGCCGACTGCGGCGGCAGGAGGAGGAGGAGTCTTTTCAACCCGGAGACAGTCGAAGGTACTGAATTTGGCCTTTATTTGATGCACAATACTAATGTGGTTGGCCATTGAGGTTGTGTTCCCCCCTTTACAAGAGATGATTTTGCAACATAAGTTGCATTTCGCTTCTTCTTTATCTTTGAGCTCGGTAAAATGAAACCAAACTTTAGACCTTTTCGTACGTTCAGCCATCCTCGAGTCGCGAGCAAAGTTAAGTGCCAGACTTCACTTGTTTTACTTTTAATATCTGTTTGCTTACAATTTCATTCCAAAACATTGGTGGACATGCTGCAGTGATTGGATTGATTAGATTTAAATGCTGTGACGCGAGTCGAGGGAGTTACAGGACCTCCAGGAGAAAAAAAAACAAAAAAACGACCAGACTCGATAGTGGTATCGATAAGCCCAAACGTTATTGATTTTCAGGTTTTGAAAAAAGTGGAACCGGGTCCTTGATAGAACCGGGTTTCGAACCCCATCCCTACTCAGGATTAGTTTTCCCTGACAGAATAAATGCAGCCGTTTGTCGTTTTGGTAACTAGATCAAAATTACCGCTAGGTGGACAAAAATCACGCCATCTGGCGGAAAATCACGCAAGAATTTGTACAAAACAACAAAAATGGTGCCGGCAACACTTCTGGGTCGTTTTCATCGAATGTCGGCTACTTTAAAATAAGTTTGAGTGATAAGTAATTTTTTTTGCGATCATTGCACTTTCTCGGCGGGCAAATGCAATGAAATTTGTTCTCTCCCGACAATAAAAACGACTTTCCCCGGGCGATGGTTAACATCGAGCCCTGATAAAACATTTTCCCTTAAGGAGTTCTGGATAGATCAGATTGAAAAATTTAAAATATTTTTATTTAAATGCAAAATTATTATTATTTTACAATCTTGGTATAATTCCTGCTCTAAGTGAGTCGCTCCAGTTATCGATTACTAAATTAGTTGATGATTATTTGGTTCCTAGAAATTCTAAAAGTAGAATGGGAGGCAGATCTTTTAGATATCAGGCTCCTCTCCTGTGGAACCAACTACCAGTTTTAGTCCGTGATAATTAGATAATATGCACCTGAAATAAGACAATGCAATTGTTTACTTATATTACATATAAATTGTCTCATTCCGTTCGCAAAATGTCTCACTTTCCTCCTCAATTCTAGAAAAAAATGCAGTTATTTAAAGAAAAAATGACCTGTGTGGATGTAAACGTTTAGCAGTGTGGGCCCTCTTACCTGTCCCGTTTCATATTTGCCGTGCTGCTTCACTGCTTCAAACACACCGACAGGCTCCAGAATCTTCCCTTCAGGCCTGTTTCTGCCAAAACACAGGAAAAAACGATGCTTTATCACAACCTGCGGGGGGTCAGAGACTCCATGACAGCAGCTGGTCGCCTACAGAAACCCAGCCTGGGTCTGCTTTAACGGCTAATCTTCGCAGCGCGGATTAAAGGGGATGATTTAATATCACAGCAAGCCTTTATTAATATCACAAAACAATCATCAGAGGGTTAGCTGGGAGAAATATGGCAACAAAACAGAGAAGATGGACGGATTTTATACAGAGGAGCAGAAAAATAAAGGCTTAGATCAGCGGCTGATCCAGGAACAGCAGCAGAGTTAAAAATCCTTTCATAAGAAAAGGTCCGATTTATTCCTGTTGGACAAAAGCAGCACATTGTTCCCTAAAGGGAAGCTTTTATATGTTCTCCTGTTAGCGTGCGTCGAGCTAACAGGATAACCACAGGTCGTCTCTAAATATGTCGGATATAAACAAAATCCAAACTGATAGAAAACCTTTCAGTGGGCAGCAGAGAAACAATCTGTTTACAGAGTTTCATAAAATAATTGTTTTTAAACTGCCTCTATTCTGCAGAATTAACCTTTTTTCCATTCTTATGGTTTTTCCTCTTGATTTCTGCTCCTCTGATTAATCATCATGAGCTCCACAGTCTGAGTTCTACTGCTTTTCCCCCTAAAAATGATTCAAAATGAATTCAAAGACAGTTTCAGATGAATTTTATCAGTGGAATAAAAGTTAAAGCCTGGAATGAATTTACTGAGCTCATTTCTGGAGGCCTGCAGCTGCACGTTTTTAAGGACATTTCAACATTTTCTGATCAGAATTCACCACCGGACGGGTCAATAAAGCTCCTCTCTCACCTTAAAGATTTAAACCAGCATATGCCTGATGTACGGAAAATCTGGCTAAAACGCTGGCATACGTTAGATAAAGTTATCGGGACACCGAAGCTCGCAGAAACAAGCCGAAGCTCGCAGAAACAAGCCGAAGCTCACCGAAACAAGCCGATGCTCACCGAAACAAGCTGAAACTCACTGAAACACCTTTTGCTTGGATTACTGCTTCGCACGCTCTTGGCAATCAAAGCAAAAGGAGCTACTTTGAAGAACCTAGAATATAAGACATATCTTCAGTTGTTTAACACTTTTTTGTTAAATACATAATTCTACATTTTAATTCATAGTTTTGATTAGTGGACTGTGGTCCAGATCTGGACCCAACCTGATTTAAAACATTTATGTTGTCCAACAGCAGTGTCTAATTTCACTTGTGCCGCTTCTCCTGTTAATACGGTAAAGCCCTGGGGAGCGTCCGGCTCCAGGCTGCACGTGATCCAAATGAGCCAATGAGCTGTCAGTCTGGGTTGCTGCTGCTGCTACTTTTAGACCCAGCAGGCAAACCTGTGGCAAGCCGGGCGATGGGAAAGAAGGAGAAGACCATGAGAAAAAGAGAGCAGAGAAAGTGTGGACTGCTGGAAGAACTGCGGTGAACTGGTGAAAGAAAAGTGAAATGGCGTGCTCAAAGATGACCCTGCACATTTAGAGGATGTTTGGCTCAACCTGCTGCTGTGAAGCAGGATTCTCCACCATGAACAGAATCAACAATAAATCTGGATCCAGGCTCAAAATGAGCTACTTGATATGTGCTTGAGAATGGCTTAGTCTCTGGTTAAACCCAGGTTTAAAGCCTTGCAGGGCAGCCTAAAGCCCACTGCCAACATTAAGACAGAAAAAAGAAAGAAAATAACAAACCATCAGTTCAGGGGTTTGAGAAAATATGGGAATCAGGAAATTATCTATAAACCAAACTGAACGATTGTTGTTCTCTACTTCAAAAAACACTTTAGATTTTAAAATGCTAATTTGTTCTTATTTTTTTCTTTAAAAAAAACAAAACAATGTATAACATGGAAGCACAAACACCGCGTTTTATTTCAGTGTTAAACTCTGTTTATTATAATTAAAAATATCTCCGGACCTTTACTGGTTGATGATTTTATTTATTCGGACCCCGATGATTTTAATTGGTTACCCCTGCTCTATTTATATGCCCAAAATTGAAAAAAAAAAACATAAAAACTTCAGCGTATGCCGGCGTTTTAGGAGATTCTAGGACGTTGGGCATACGCTGGCTAAATCAGCCAGGTGTGACGGGGACCTAACATCACATTTTTACATGATTCAATAAAGTTTTTGTTTATAATGGGATCCCATCTAAAAAGCTCAAAAAGTGTGAATAGTTGTGCGAAGCGACTGATCAGTTTCTATGAGGAGGAAAGGCTCAGCAGCGACGTGAAGGCAGCTGCCAAAGGTCCTGTTTTGTTTTCTGGATCTAGTCTCCCTCCTGTGTTGCTATTTTTAACCACTGTTCTGGGCTAAAGGTCAAATGTTAAACCTTTCAGTGACATGCGATACTAAATACCAAAAGCTCTTCATTGATAGGAAATAAAGGAGGAAGATTTTGCCTGAAATCTGTGAACCTGTTGACATAAAAACAACTTTACATTATTTTACAACTGAGGAATAAATTAAATGTATGTTTTCCCAGCAAATGATGCTAAATGTTCTGGACTTTTCCACATTATTCTGGAGAACTGGGAATATTGTGAAAAATGGCCGCAGCTCGCTGTAGGTCAGCGCCCTGAATGCAGCCAATGGAGGCTCAACGGCATAACTGCACCCTGAAAGCTGGAAGAACATCTGGAAGAAGGTAGCGTCACTCATTACAGAACAGAGTAGCAGAACTGATGCTAGCACAGCTAAATCAGAGGGAGCTCAATGCAGCCTCATGTTCTGGTGATGATCCAGCTGTTCTCCGTCACGCTGCAGAGACAAAGACTCGACCTGGAAAACGCCAAAACTCTCTGTACAGAGAGCAGATTATAAAACAAATACACTGTTTCTACCAATAGCCCCAAAGTTTAAACTTTGATCACATGACCTGATGAGGAGAGAGGAAAGAAAAAGGAAAGGTTAGGGTTGATTTCCTGGATGATCCTAACGACCCCCCTTTCAGAGACATAGACAGGTATGGGGCATTGCAGGCTAACCAAGAAGCCAAACGACCCCCATTCCAAAGGGGGGGACCCGTTCATCCGTTTCTATCTGCATGTTTTCTAAACTAAAACCAGGCTTTGTTGGGCTGCTGGATAAAACCTGGAACTAAACGCTATTTCTGACATTTGGATTGAAAAAGCTTCCTGGATGGAAGAGAAACGTCTTTAAACTTGGAAACAAAGTCCAGAGGATTGATTTTGATTTTTTTTGAATGACTCTGACCTGGATGACTGAGGATCTTCACCAGCACATAGAACCAGAGTGATTATTAGGGGAACAGAGATGTAAGCTAATCCGAACACAGCAGTAAATATAGTTGCTAGCCTGCTAGTTATTTCAAATAACTTCTAACATTTGCTTAAAAAATAAAAAATAATCAAAACAAAAGAGGACTTTGACATTTCTAAAAGTGAAGTGACGGCCTAGTGGTTAGGGCATAGGGCTTTGAATCCTGAGGTTGTGAGTTCAATCTCCCACTCCCACAGACTGCCACTCTGGGTCCCTGAGCAAGACCCTTAACCCCACACTGCTCCCCAAGGGGAGGGGTTAAATGCAGAGAATTAATTTCCCTCTGGAATTATTAGAGTATAAATAAAAAATAATAATAAAAAAATAAAAAAATAAAAAATTTTCCACCTGTTAACATCAGGTGATGGGTAGTAAAATCCTCAGGATACCATCGGGCTTTTTAAAGCAGTGATAGAATGATTCTATAGGGTATCTGGTCCTGGTGATTCAAAATCATCCGGGATTTTGGCCGACAACAGTCCAGGACGTAGTGCTAACAGGGAGCCAGCGGGGGACGGAGCAACCGAACACCACCGGGTGATGGTAGCCTGGAAACTGGCGGACCCGTGCTTCTCCCTGCCTGCCTTCCAGCCTCCTGAGGATGGGGGGTTGATGGCTGTCTGCTGAGGTCCGGTCCAGTTAGCGGCCCAGCAGCCCCCCCTGAACTGTCCAACATTTTGAAAGCTGTCTTCAGTAAAATGCTTCGAGCAAATGAACAGCTGAGCATCAAACTTTGCAGCGATCTTCTGATAGACTAAAATAATCCCTGCCTGTCGGATCCTTGGGAAGACTGAAAACGTTCCCCTTCCTCCGGTCCCCTGGTTCTGGATCATTTTCTATAGAGAAACTTCCTGCTATGTAATTCTTGTAGCAGTAAACCCACCTGTAGGCTAAACTGCCATCTTCCATCTTCCTCTATTCAAGTTCCTGGGCCGTGAACCAGTGGGCTGGTCTGGGTGTTCATTTCAGGGCATGATAAAAGTCCAGGCCAGAACCAAATAAGGCAACATCCCAGAGTTTACATCAACTCGTTCCTTCGTTTGGATTCACTGTTTTATGGTGGAAGTTTAGAATTGTGAGATTTGCAGAGAAAGGAGGAGTTGATGGAGTTTGAACTTCTCTGTACGTCTATTTCACCCACTGAACTATCGTTATTCATCTATGAACATGGAAACTCTGCATTCTATCACCCCTTTAAATTTGCTAATAAGCTAAGCTATCAGAATCAGACATACTTTAATAATCCCGGAGGGAAATTTATTTGGTTACATGCTCCAGATACAAACATATTTATATATATATAAATTAGGGCTGCAACAATGAATCGATAAAATCGATAAATCGATTTTTAAAAGCGTTGGCAACGAATTTCATCATCGATTAGTTGTGTTGCGTGATTTATGCGTCGTCCACCGCCGTCGTCATCACTGCCACTTGATTGAAACGGGGGATGAAAAAAAAATACGGCAGAGCGAGCCAGCGCCGCAGGCGAGCAAAGGCTGTTTTCAAAAGGCAGAAACGTCAACTGTTCTAATGACAGATACCGCAAACGCAAGCTGTGTCTTAATTCGCAGACAGCCTGCGCTTTGTAAAGCGAAAAAAGTCGTAACATGCAACAAAGTAGCCTATATGTTGTGGATGTACAGCTACATTTCTCATGTAAGTTTGCATAGTTTTAACACAAACATTTATTTTTCATATTGCAGCAGTACAGTTAATGAGAAACCTGTACTTGTGTGCTTGTTTGTTCTGTCTAAAATGTTTATTTTGGAATAAAGAGGTTAATATAAAAAATATTTTTTGTCCGATTCATCGATTAATCGAAAAAATTATCGGCCGATTCATCGATTTTTAAAATAATCGTTAGTTGCAGCCCTAATAAATACATACACACACATACATATATATATGCATATGTATAACTAACAAAGCAGCATTGTTTCAACAGCGTTTCCCAAATAAACAGAGATGAATAATCTGAAGGTTTACTTGAGAATGATGAGCTTAAAAAAGTCTAAATGATTTATGAGAAATAAAAAAAAAAAAACAGCAGCAGAACTGATATCCAGACCAACATTTAACATTTTAAAAAGTCTCTAAAGTATTTAGAGGATCCAAGTAGCAGCTCAGTGTCCTAGAATGACTTCCTGATTGAGGAGAAACGTTAAAGTGAAGCAGGTTGGTTTCATAAAGCGGTGGGTGTGATCTTCATGTTATCCAACGTTTCCACTCAGCAGGTCGGAGGCTGCAGATCAGGGAGATGTTGCTCAACACGCGCTGCCTTCTTGGCTAACTAGCACAACTTTCTTCTTCTGGTGCCAAATTAAAACGTTTTAAACAAAACAAGACAACAACACGGTCAGATCCAGCGCTCTGCTCTGCAATAACAACCAAAGCCTCCTTGGTGCCACAGAAAGCTCATCGCACCTAGCTAAAGCTAAAGCCATTGGTGCGCGCGTGAGTGCTAGCTTAGAAGGACTGTGTCTCTTACCGTGACGACATTAACCTGCTCTGTTGGACGCCGCCCAGCAGGCCGCAGGCTCGGCATTGTAGCCACGGCTTGTTGGCCTCAGCGCCACCTTTAATGTCGGAGACGCTCAGTATTCTGTGGGAGGCTTTTCTGCTGTATCTGCTGACACCGCTCAGCAAGCCCCTTCGTAGCGCACAGGCGGCCATCTTTGCTTTCTGCCTGCGCAGTACGACGCAGCGCGCGCACGAACCTACAGCTGAGTCCGGGTGGTGCGTTCAGGGCAGGCTCGGTAAAAACAGATATAGTAAAACCCTGACAGCTAAACGCTAAAATTCATGCCCTTCTACAGTTTGTCCTTTAAATAAATTCACTTTTTTAATTTGTGAAGCTTTAGCAATACATACTTTGACTACCAACATTTACATTGTATTATTATTTATTTAACATTATAGTATAATTATTTTTAACTGCTTTGGCTCCTATAATTTTTAAGGGAAAAAAAAATAATAAATATATATATATGTTTTCTCCCACTCCCTTTCAGGCCTGTTTTTTTTTTTTTTTTTTTTTTTGTTATTTATAATATGTCTCATAAGTTTGAATTAATGAAGTGTCATTCACTTGCATGTTTTAATGCCTGTAATTGCCTGAAATAAATAAATAAATAAATAAATAAATAAAAGACTATTAATCTACATACCGATAAGGAAACATGAGGGTCCAGATGAGCAACGGACCATGAATGCATCATCAAAAGCGGTCACATGTCATGTAGAGTGAAATATTTATACATTTATAATTTCATTAATGGAAGAGCAGAAGGTGATTAAAACAAGAGAGCTAGTTTCTGAAACAGACATGGCTACAGCTTGATGCTAACATGTCTGTTATCTGTCAGAATTCAGACTTTTTTCCTCATATGATAGTGAGATGAAGTTTAAAAACCAGTAACCTTTTTTATTTTTTCAGTGGCCCTAATGTTCTTCCGTAATCCTCCACCTCTAACATGTTTCAAATGCCAAAATGTGGTCATATAGCAGCAGCATGTAAGGGAAAACAATGACGTGGGAGGTTTGCTGGAGAGCAGGAACATGGAAAATGTGGGAAAGAAGTTCAAATGAAATGCTGTAACTGTGGTGGAGATCATTCTGCTGCATATCGAGGATGTAAAGTGAGTAAAAGATCTGAAGAGATCAGAAAAGTGAAATTAGAGCTCAGAATAAGTTCTGCTAAAGATGCAAAAATTATTTAATAACAGTCAGAAAAACCCAAACCAACAGTTCAGCAAATGAAAAGTTCAAACCTCTGGAGCAGAGACCCAAAGGACATGGCAGGGTGACGATAACTTAAAGATTAATTAGAAATTATGAGGATGAATGTGATTAAGTATTTATTATGTTGGGTTAAGTTAAACATTTCGGAAAATATTATTTTCTTTATTATTAGTAGTAGTAGTATTATTTATATATATATATATATATATATATATATATATATATATATATATATATATATATATATATATATATATATATATATATATATATATATATATATTGTTTATTTATTATCATTATTTTTTCTGGGGGTGAGTCTTGTTTCCTTGTTTAACTCCTCATCAGTTGGTGGCGGTAATGCACTTTAAATAGTCTGCCAACCGCCATAAAACCCCATAAGAAGAAGAAGAAGAAGAAGAAGAAGAAGAAGAAGACGACAACACTGGTCACGTGATTCTAGTATGTCACAAGACAGTCAATATGGCGGCTTACATTTTTGTTATGTCGGCTTTACGTTATTGCTAAACACCAACATCAAAGGGAGAGGACATTGAATAAAAAGCTGCGCGTGTCTCTGAACTCAGAGCGGATCTGTTTCCGCCGCTTCGTCGCTTAGCAACGGTCTCCTCAGCGTGAGCTAGCTGCTTTAGCATCATGGCGTCTTCTTTTGTGGTGGGGGAGACATTCAGAAGTCGGGTGAGGTTGTTGCTGGAGACCTCAGACTCTCCTCTGAGCGGAGAACTGAAAGCAGAGCTGCAGGGCATTCTGGGAAAAAACCCAACAATCCTGCCTTTCAGCGCAGCGAGGAAACTGAAGAAACACTTTCAGGACAAAGGTTCACTAATAGCATCACTTCCTGTTGCTAACAGGCTTCAGTGCTAATCTAATGATTGTGTTTTTGACAGGCCAGCCTTTCTATCTGCACCAGCTGCTGGAGGACAGCTCCCTGCACCTGCCTGAAGTAGAGAAGCCTCCCAGAGTAAGAACACAGCTCTGCTTCTCATGCTGACATCATCAACACGCCTCATGCTGTTACTGGATTATTTACCCATAAGAACTAAAACTATAGGAATAAAAATGTTCAACTAGAGATGGGTCCATTAACCCCCATGGTGCATCCATGGAGCCCAGAGAGCAAATATGGAAAGCCACTTGGTCCAATTACTCATGATTTCTAACACGTATCCGTGTTGTACTAATTTTTTATATCTGACATTGTCATTATGACTAGCAGTAACTCTATTATAGAGATCTGAAATTAGAATTTATCCTTGTCAGAATTCATTTTTACAGCAGAAGAATATTATTTTAGATATCTGGAAGTAAAAGCACAAAACACATGAATGAGAAACGTGACGTCATGTTTACTAGTAAAAAGTACTTTTCAGATATTTAAAATTTTTATTTTGAGAAGGAAGAAATGCATTTGAGACATCTGGATTACATATTCGGTTAAGCTAATAAAGTTCAAAACGGCCTGCTGTACTCTACTACTGAGCAGCCAATGGGAAATGCTGCAGTGTTTTACCGTTGAATCACGTGGGGACGCAGCAGGTTTCCAGGAGCAGGTGCAGCGTGTCTGAGCAACTGACGCGCTGTAAACGCAGCAACTGCTGGAGTTGGAAAAATGGAACTTTAGCCGCTGGACGCGCCGCATCAACCAATCAGAGAAGCTGATCTGGGACTGTACTCTGTGTTACCTGAAGATCAGAATATGGGCTTTCTGTATGGAAGTGAATCTCTTAATTACCTGGAACCAAGCACCTGTAGATGTTTGTGAGAGTGCAGTTGTGCATGTAAAGTTTATCCAAAGGGAAAAATGCTCAATAGTGGTTGTGAGGAGCCAAAGACGCGCCCCCCCCCCCCCCCCCCCCCCCCCCCCCCCAGAGCACCGAAGCAAGTGCGAGGGGGACCCAAAGACCCAGACGTCCAAAGGGACCCAAAGAGCCAAGGCGTCCAGGAGGCGGGATGTTTTAGATGTTTGAACGTTTCATTTTAAAAAAAATTTTTCTAAAAACCGTGTTAATGAAGTCGGACTTTGCGGTTGTCGTTTCAGAACCCTGAGTTGGTGGCTCGCCTGGAGAAGATCAAAGCCAAACTGGCCAATGAAGAATACAACAGGATGACGCGTAACGTCAACACCCAGGTCCTTTTAACGCGCAGCGCTGATCTGGGATCAGAGATCTGGGATCAGTTTTACTTTAATGATTGTTTTATTTTATTTTTTTATGATCAGGAAATGAACCGAAATGGAACGCTCGCAGATTTGGGTCATCAAGGTCAGACTCTGATGCTTGATTCTGTTTCACGTTGAAACGAGTTTAATTCTGTCACCTAAACTGGTTTTATTTCCTATTTTCTCAGTGCGGTCGGTAAAAACCGTGGTGGTGACGGTTTTCAACTTCCTGGTGACTTTAGTCGCCACTTTTGGTTGTTCCTACATCGGAAGTCAGTATTTATTTACTGAAACGGCAGCGGTAAGAAAACACTGATTCTTTCATTTTTCCATACTTATTAAAGTTATAGGGAAATCATATTTAAATGTCAAATCATTCTGGCTTAAACGTTTATATAAATGTACTCTTTATCAGAACATATTGTCCCAAAAGTTAGAACATTTCTATTTAAATAAAAATCCTGTCTTAAAATTAGTGGGTTTTTTTTCGTTATCTTCTGCAGGCCAGTTAGTTAAATGTCAGCCTGAACACCTACAGGTGCTGGTCATAAAATTAGAATATCATGAAAAAGTAGATTGATTTCAGTAATTCCATTTAAAAAGTGAAACTTGTATATTATATTCATACATTACATACAAACTCATATATTTCAGATGTTTATTTTGTTTAATTTTGATGATTACAAATGACAACAAATGAAAATCTCAAATTCATCATATCAGAAAATTAGAATATTGTGAAAAGGTTCAAAATTGATGGCCCCTGGTGCCACACTCTAATCAGCTAATTAACTCAAACCACCTGCAAAAGCCTTTAAATGGTCTTTCAGTCTAGTTCTATAGGCTACACAATCATGGGGAAGACTGCTGACTTGACAGTTGTCCAAAAGACGACCATCGACACCTTGCACAAGGAGGGCAAGACACAAAAGGTCATCGCTAAAGAGGCTGGCTGTTCACAGAGCTCAGTGTCCAAGCACATTAATAGAGAGGCGAAGGGAAGGAAAAGATGTGGTCGAAAAAAGTGTACAAGCAAGAGAGATAACCGCACCCTGGAGAGGATTGTGAAACAAAACCCCTTCAAAAATGTGGGGGAGATTCACAAAGAGTGGACTGCAGCTGGAGTGAGTGCTTCAAGAACCACCACACACAGACGTATGAAAGACATGGGTTTCTGCTGTCGCATTCCTTGTGTCAAGCCACTCTTGAACCACAGACAGCGTCAGAAGCGTCTAAAGAGAAACAGGACTGGACTGCTGGTGAGTGGTCCAAAGTCATGTTCTCTGATGAAAGTAAATTTTGCATTTCCTTTGGAAATCAAGGTCCCAGAGTCTGGAGGAAAAGAAGAGAGGCACTTCATCCACGTTGCTTGAAGTCCAGTGTAAAGTTTCCACAGTCAGTGATGGTTTGGGGTGCCATGTCATCTGCTGGTGTTGGTCCATTGTGTTTTCTGAGGTCCAGGGTCAACGCAGCCACATACCAGGAAGTTTTAGAGCACTTCATGCTTCCTGCAGCTGACCAACTTTTTGGAGATGCAGATTTCATTTTCCAACAGGACTTGGCACCTGCACACAGTGCCAAAGCTACCAGTACCTGGTTGAAGGACCATGGTATCCCTGTTCTTAATTGGCCAGCAAACTCTCCTGACCTTAACCCCATAGAAAATCTATGGGGTATTGTGAAGAAGAAGATGCAATACACCAGACCCAACAATTCAGAAGAGCTAAAAGCCACTATTAGAGCAACCTGGGCTATCATAACACCTGAGCAGTGCCACAGACTGATCGACTCCAT